TGATCCCGGGGAATTTCCTCCTGGGGTAGGGAATTCTCATGTTGGTTTCTGGTGTCATCCTGTTGAGTCAGCGTTTTGTGGTCTTCAGCACAGTGGGAAGCAGAGGATTTCTCCATACACGTAGACTTTTCCGCCTTAACTCTTCCAGATCTCCAATGGTTCTCAAATGTTTCTTTTCCCATTTTGGCATCGGCTGGTTGGGAAGTCCCCTGACCATTCTCATTGTCCCCATCTGTTTCTGGAGAGAGAAAGAAAGCTCAAGTTACAGGTGGTCCTTGACTTACAACTGTTCATTTAGCAACAGGTTGCAACGCCACTGAAAAAAGTGACTTACTTATGACCCTTTTTCACACTTACAACCATTGCAGCATCCCTATGGTCAGGTGATCAAAATTCGGATGCTTGGACACTAACTCGTAGGTAGGACGGTTACAGTGTCCTGAGGTCACGTGACCTGTTGTGACCTAGCAAGCAAAGTCAATGGGAAAGCTAGATTCGCTTAACAACCATTAACAACTATAGTGATTCAACAGTCGTGGCAAGAAAATCATAAAACTGGGCAACAAATGTCTCACTTTGACCATAGCGTCTTGCATGATTTTTCATTTCCTATGCAGTTTGTCAAAACTTTTTTTTACAACTACCATATTTCCCCGAAAATAAGAACCTGTCTTTTTTTTTGCCTCCAAACGGCACCAGGTCTTATTTTTGGGAGGGGGGAGGTGTCTTTCCCACTCACCTCACAGTGTCTATATTTCACAAGTGACTATATTTCCTTTCTTGTAAATGCTGGTCCTTTATTTCAGAAAATTGTCCTTTAGTCTTTCTTTCTTTCTTTCTTTCTTTTCTTTCTTCCTTCCTTCCTTCCTTCTTTCCTTCCTTCCTTCCTTCTCTCTCTCTCTCTCTCTCTCTCCATGGTTAGAATGTGGTATTGCAGGCTACTTCTGCCAACTGCCAGCAGTTCGATTCTCACCAGCTCAAGGTTGACTCAGACTTCTGTCCTTCCAAAGTCGGTAAAATGAGGACCCAGATTGTTGGGGGGCAGTATGCTGACTTGTAAACTGCTTAGAGAGGGCTGTAAAGCACTGTGAAGCGGTATATAAGTCTAAGTGCCATGGCTACTGCTATTGCCTGTTCCAACTATCTGAACTCAGAGCAAAGAGAGGTCTATTACCCAGAAATGCCACATGTCTAGAATTCTCCTGCATGACTTCCTTGTGGAGACGCTTTTGGGTGGAATCCAGCAGAGCCCATTCCTCCTTGGAAAAACATACCACCACCTCCTGGAAGGACACAGCACTCTGAGGGAGGGAAAAACATAGACACCCTCAATGTTTTGAAAACCCTCTGCGTTAATCAAGCCCCAAAACAGACATTTCCCCTCCATCCACATGCATCATGCTACTGCCCACATGCCAGCAAGCTTTGAGGTCCATCCAGTAAGCTGATGGACATTGAGGATGGGCAGCCACTTGCAGTACATCCGATGGCCCACTTTGGGCAGGATTCCAAATGTCATAAGAAGAAAACAATTAAGAATACTCAGTAAGGTATTACTGTTTTTATGGATTCCACTGCACCTTCCGTGAAGGGAAACGACACTATTCCATGAAATCACCTTCCCAGAAAAGATGGGGATCTCATTGTCTGAGGGAAGAGTCCAAAGTGGGCGATCCACAGATGGACTGGTGGACCTTCGCAAAGCTCTAGTTTGGATGTTGGACTTCTTCCTTACCCAAAAGGAAAAATGAAACAGCAGCCCATCCTACTGAAGATTATGTGACAGGCCCTCTTCTTCTAGAAGTACCATGAGGGAAAACCATTCAAACAAATGGTGGTACACCAATGGGTCCAGACAGAGAGAATAAATTGAGGTCAGGACAAGAAACAATGGTTGTTTCTTGGCTAAAGAGAGAAGCAACCTGGAATTAAGGAGAAACTTCCTAACAAATTTAATCCAATATCTTAGTCTCCAAGGCGCCTGAAGGCAGGACAAGAAGCAACGGATGGAAACTAATCAAGGAGAGAAGCAACCTAGAACTAAGGAGAAACTTCCTGACAGTTAGAACAATTAACCAATGGAACAACCTGCCTCCAGAAGCGGTGAATGCTCCAACACTGGAAGTTTTTAAGAAGACAATGGACAGCCATCTGTCCGAAATGGTATAGGGTTTCCTGCCTGAGCAGGGGGTTGGACTCGATGACCTCCAAGGTCCCTTCCAACTTTATTATTATTATTATTATTTAGAATAATTTTAAGCCTGTCACTTTGAGAGGCTCACATATCACATGAACAACTAGGTCCAAGGTTAGGGGGATATTATTTTATCGTGACCCTTCAATGTTCTGGAGTCCTTCAAGAGGACTTCTGTGATTTATGGGTCATTTCCCTACCTGAGTTGAAGAGAGAGTTTCTGCTTCATCAGAAAAAGAAGACATTTCGACAAGGTCCAGTGGTGATGGACCATATCCTGTAAGGGAGACAAATGGGAAGACGTGAATTTTAGAAAACTATTGTTAACAATTTAAGGGATGACACTCTACATAAAAACCTGTTCACATTCAAGGTAAACCTGTGAACGCAGATTCTGAAGATGGGAGAAGCTGGCAATCGCTGGAAATGAAGACAGAATCCATCCTTACCAACTAATATCTCAAGAACATCATTTTCCTGGGAGATGCCCTTGAAAGGCATCCCCTGAGATGAATCTGAGGAATCCATCCTTGTATTGACACTTTCTGGATCCACCTTGATAGAGTTTTCCTATAAATAAACAACAGCAAGGAAAAAAAGGGAATCAGAGTCCTGGAATCTAAAAAAGGAATCACTGCTTTTGACCACAGTCTTATTCAATATCTGTCTATGGCAGGGGTAGATAACTTTGGCTCTTTTATGACTCGTGGACTTCAGCTCCCAGAATTCCTGAGCCAGCATAGAATTCTGGGAGTTGAAGTCCACAAGTCATAAAAGAGCCAAAGTTGCCTACCCCTGGTCTATGGGAATAGAGCAAATTTTCTATTCCTTACCTATTCTAAAAAAAAAAATGGCTCAAAGAGGTATGGTTCAAGTTCACATTTATTACAGTCAAAGACCAGAGACCAGAACAAATAAAAACACCCTACGAATATCCAGTTAAAAATTCTAGAGTAAAATAATAAATAGCAAATAAAATCAATATTAAAATCACAATTTAGGCATCCAGTCTGTCAGTGACACATGGCCTAACTATAATATAAATGATAATATCAATCCTTAAACTGTGGGGCCTGAAGTCATCGAAGACTAAAATGCAAAAAAAAAATAGCAACACAAAGGGTTTGCTATATTAGTTGTGCAAAATTGCTATGGTGGATTAATCACATGTTTCCAACGTATCCCCAGTGCTGCTGCAGAGAATCTGGCCACCTGCGCTGTAATCACAGTCTGTTCATCCTTAAGCAGCCCTGGAGATACCTGTCGGATACCTATCAATTATTGGGAGGAGATGTTTCTTTCGAATATAGAAAGAGCATCGAAGGGATATATTCCAACAGTTTCCACCTCTCCTGAGCCACAGGAGCTGAGTCTTTCTTTCTTTCTTTTGTATAGATTTTATTGGTTTTTATAGCGTTAGGAATAAGATGGGGTTAGGATTTGGGTTAGGGTTGAGGTTAGGGTTGAGATTTATCCAAATAACATTTTCAATATTTAGCAAACAGCATAATGTCTGGGTACACGTATTTAACTAACAATAATAGATATAGTTAATTATCATAAACAATATGCTAATTAATCACTCAATAGTCTTCTTCTTGTCAATATATTCAAAACTAGCTGTACCCAGCCACGCGTTGCTGTGGCTCAGTCTGGTAAAAGCGTGTGTTGCTTTTACGTCCAACAGATGGCGCTGTTTTTCAAAAAAGCATGTTTTTACCTGTACGGGTGTGACATCTATATAATATAGGTATATAAAAACACGTGCGTATTTGAATGCAACGTCGTGTCAAAATTTCAAAACAATCGGTGATGAACTTTCAGAGATTTAAGATTTTGAACAAACGAACATTTACATTTTTATTTATATAAATTACATATCACCACGTTCCTTTCTCCCTAACTCGTTTTTCTAGCCACTGATAGAAATTATCCCATAATGTTCTAAAGTACACCAAGTCTTCTTTCTCTTTAATCTTTCAAGTCAATCTATCCATTTCTGCACACTCTAGAATTTTCTTAATTAGTACTTCTTCTGTTTCCAATGTTGGGCAAATACAACTCTTACTGCCATTAATATGTGTAGTATTAGATATCTGTAATCTTTCTCATAATTAGCTCCTATTATTCCTAACAAAAATAATTCTGGTTTAAAGTCTATTTGTTTTTTAGTCCTCTTCTCCAACCATAAATGTATTTTTAACCCAAAATCCGAGTCTTTCAATCAATGGTATCTTTTTTATACTTGCCGTATAGGACGGCTGATGGAAGCGCAAGACACCGTGCGAGCGAAAATGCTTTCCGGTGGTTTGCCGACTCCAACTGGCTAAGATAACTGAAAGGCGTAACAACTTATCTAATAGAATCTGGAGCCAGAAACAGCGGAGCTATCCCTACGTCTGCTTGCCTCTCGATGTCTACCTTTTGTTGAAAGGTTTGCTTTGTATGAGGTATAAGCGACATCTTCTATTACAAGTTCAAAAAATCCTGAGAGGGCTCTATTTGGAGAAGTCACGAATTAACTTTCTCACCTCCTTTTCTTTGCCGTCAGTCTGGCTCAGGAGGAAACCTTCGGCCAAGGCCACCGCCTGGGAGCTGGTTTCCACTCCACACTCCCGCACCCAGTTGGCCATCTCCAGGGGAAGGATGGCCAGGAACTGCTCAAGGAGCACCAGGTCCAGCATCTGAGCTTTGGTGTTCCTTTCTGGCTGCAGCCACTGAAGGCAAAGACGATGGAGGTGGCTGCAAAGTCTTCGGGGTCCCTCTGACTCATGGTAGCTGAATCCTCTGAAGTTCTGCTTCCGGACCACCCAAGAGGGGTTGTCTTCTTCCAGGAACTTCTGCCCAGTCCTTTGGTTGAACTTTCCCCAGCACTCAGCCTGATCCTGACGAGGGCTGGTTCCTCTTGGGCCTCGCGACTCCATTTTCTCCCTAGGCTCCGCTGAAGATACAGAGACAAAAAACTTTGTATTCCGACACACAGCACCCAAAGCGCACACACCACAGAGTTGACCGCCACACAAAAACAAACCCTTCTATACACAAAAGGGGTGTCGGAAATGAAAGCCAGAATTCTCCAACCCCTAGGAATGGCGATAGCCCGCAAATCCACAGCCACACTCCGTCAGGAATTATCCAGAAGCAAAGACAAGACACAGAAGGATGAAAGAAGCGATGTACTCTATAAAACCAAGTGTGACGATTGCAGCCACTTCTACGTGGGACAAATGTCATTTCTATTAAAAACCAGGATCCATGAACATCGGCCAACAGTCAAACGCCACGATCCCAAATCCTTAATCGCCACCCACACCAACACCAGTTCAATTGGAGCAACACTAAAATCATTGGCCACGCGACCACCCGCCACACTTGGGAGTTCATCAAAGCTTGGCACTCCACAAGCAATTCCATCAACACACTGATCTACAGCCAGCCTACGAACCCCTCAGAATCCAAATCAATTGCACAGCCAACCGGAGACAGCACCAACCCTCAACTAACTCATGCAAGCCCCCTCTTCCCCCCCCCACCAGCAGCTCACCTTCCAATGACCTTGATGTAATTTCCCCATCACAAGACTCACCAATGACGCACGCTGGACCCACTGATAGTTCACACCCTCCAACAATCCTGACCTTAAGTAACTTTCCCCCATCACAAGCTTCTGAGTATTCACACCTGGCCCATCACAAGATTCTCACTTGACACTCCCACACCTGAAGCCCTTATAAACAGTAGAAACAGACCTCACCTAAACCAGAGGTCCTCAACCTTTTGGGCACCAGGGACCAGTTCCGTGGAGAGGGGTTTCTCCGCGGCCCGGAGGGTGCGTGGTTTTGTGTGCTGCCTGCATCTCGTGGGGACCCCTGCCCTAAACGCCGCCGAAGATGTTACCTAGCCTGGTAACAGAACATTCGGAAACCAATCTAAAAGCTCGGAGAACGAACCTTCACCCTCATCCTACAGCTGAGCTACAGATATTCGCCACTATTGCAGTCAGAGACTTGGATGGGATCTCCTCTCTCTAAAGGGGCTGGCATTAGGAAAGATATCTTAGACTGACATTATTGATATTATTAGAAAAATGTAAGAAAGATGTTGATATCCAATTGTATATCTATTAATAATAAGAATTGTATTTGTCTAGCGTGGGAAAACAGATATCACCAGGAGAGAGGAAACATTAGATAGTGTAATATTGGATCTAGACCAGGGGTAGGCAACCTTGGCTCTTTTATGACTCGTGGACTTCAACTCCCAGAATTCCTGAGCCAGCCATGCTGGGAGTTGAAGTCCACGAGTCATAAAAGAGCCAAGGTTGCCTACCCCTGATCTAGACCAAAGAAGTTAATATATACCACTGAGTTACTAATGGACCCAGACAACACGTTGTTTATTAAGTATTTGATTGTAAAACTAGAAAATTAATATTGATAAAAAATAAAAAATTAGGGGGCTGGCGTTGGCAGACTGGAATCTGCGGGAAGAATTGAGCGTCCCTATCAAGGCCTCTCTTTCCCCACTCCCCTCTGATGGGAACTTAGTCAGGAGTTGCTCTGATAGGCAGGCGGAGAACAAGATCACATCCTCCCTAGCAATTCACAGAATATCTCTATGCAGGTAGTCCTCGATTTAATGACCACAACTGAGCCCAAAATTTATGTGGCTAAGCCAGACAGTTGTTAAGTGAGCTTTTTATAACTTTTCTTGCAGTTGTTAGTAACATGGTTGTTAAATGAATCTAATTGCTTGGCAGAAAATCACAAAAGGGGATCACTGAAACTGTCCTACAATGGTCTTAAGTGTGAAAAACGGTCATAAGTAACTTTTTTTCAGTGCCAGCGTAACTTTGAATGGTTACTAAATGAATAGTTGTTACGTCGAGGACTACCTGAGTTTATTGCAGGTACAGAGAGTCCTCGACGTACAATCACGATGAGTCCAACATTTCTGTGGCCAAGTGAGACATTTGTGAAATGGGCTTTTCCCCATTTTACAACCTTTCTCGCCGCAGTTACCCAAGCGACTCACTGCATTTGTAAAGTTAGCAATATGGTTGTTTAAGTGAGCCTGGCTTCCCCATTGACTTTCGTTTGTCAGACGGTGTGATGACCCAGGGCACAGCTGGCAATGCAGTCAGCTGGCCATTCAAACAGTTCTTTTATTGCTCCCAATTTTCCCCAAATGCTCCCAGGTTCACTGGCAAGCCTCCCACAAAAGATCTCACACACACATCCCTTCAGGCGACTCTGGTTGAAAGTAGGTTCAAATACAGGCTGATTAGCATAAGAAAGTACTCAAGGCCACAGAGATAACAAGAAAGAAAACATAATTTTGAACTTGAATCCGAGCTTGCCTGAGCAGTTTCCAAAAGAGAGAATCGAAATACAGTCCGATAGTCAAGGTTCCCAGATTTCCAAACAGAAGGCACAGAACAAGAGCAACAATACACAACACTCCAATGCATTGGCGTTTGCTCCACCCCCCAGCATCTCCTTAAATCTCAATCCACAGGTATGCCTTGTGGAGTGAGGCGAGTAATTGAGCCTGCCTGCGTTGTTCCCTCCTTCTCTCCACTCTCCCTGCTCTAGGATCTGGTGCCTGGACTCTATCTCCCCTGTTCCAATCCTGAAGGGCCCTGGCCTGCCTCAGCCTGCTCTTCCCCACAGTCCTCTGAAGCCAGACACCTCTCCCTCCATAGTGTCCTGTTCCAGTTCATTTTCCTCCACAGATTCAGGCTCAGACCATGACAGATGCTTGCAAAAGGGGATCACCTGATCCTGGGATGCTGCGACCGTCATAACTATGAACCAGTTGCCAAGCATCCGAATTTTGAGTACTCGACCACTGGGGATGCTGCAACGGTTGAAAAATTGGTCATAAGTCAAATGTCTATGGAGATTCTCAGTCATCCAGATAACTTTGGTTGTCCCAAAGGTGCTTTTTCAAGGAGTCAACTGGATGTTCTTGTTTTTTTCTTTGAAGACATTTCGCTTCTCATCCAAGAAGCTTCTTCAGCTCTGACCGGGTGGTGGGGAAATGGGAAGGATTTATGTTCCTGGTCATTCCAAATAATGACCAGCTCTGTCTGCAAGGAATATAAATCCTTCCCTTCCCCACCATCGCGTCAGAGCTGAAGAAGCTTCTTGGATGAGAAGCGAAATGTCTTCAAAGGAAAAAAACAAACAGAAAAGTCCAGTTGCCTCTTGAAAAAAAGCACCTTTGGTTGTAAGTCACTTTTTGCAGTGACTTCGGTCGCCAAAAGAACGGCTTGTAAATTGAGGACTCCCTGCAGAGAATGGCTTTAGTCCGGCAAGATTCTGTTTAAAGAGTTATTGTCAAAAAAAAATAAAAAAATAAAAAAAATTGTAAAATTTTATAAAATAATAAAAAAATAAATAATTGTAAAATTTTATAAAATTTTTAATAAAAAAAAAGAGTTATTGTCCTTTTTTTTTTTTTTACTGTGGGTGCATTGGCACACCATAAAAAAATGAAATGTTGTGGCTTGCTCCCCAAAGCGTACACATCCATAACAGACATTTTAAACATGCTATATACAACATATGTATAAACCTACACCCTTAGATATTTTGTGGCTTGCTTCCCAAAGCGTACACATCCGTAACAGACATTTTAAACATGCTACATGCAACATCACATATTTGGATGTGGGAATCTATAAAACACCGAACGAAAGGTTTCGCATGTGTAGGCATTGTCTGTAAAATTTGTACGATATATGTTGTAATAATAATAATAAATAACTTAAATATATGGCGGGATAGAGGAAATGCCCTGAGTCCCGCCACTTGTCCGCTATTATTTTTGGTGCTATTTATATGCGTTCAAAGACAACTAAAATCAAATTAAATAACAGGCCTGCTCCATAAATACCCCATACAAAACCCCCACTAAAAAAATAACAGACATTTTAAACATGCTATATGCAACGTATGTATAAACCTACACCCTTAGATATTTTGCGGCTTGCTTCCCAAAGCGTACACATCCGTAACAGACATTTTAAACATGCTATATACAACATTATTATTATTATTATTATTATTATATTATTATTATTATTATTATTATTATTATTATTATTTTTTATTGAATTTATATACCGCCCTATCTCCCTTACGGGACTCAGGGCGGTGAACAGGCGATAATAAAAACCACCACCATAAACATACGCAAGTTTCTGTTCTAAAATCAAATTAAATAACAGGCCTGCTCTAAAAATACCCCATACAAAACCCCCACTAAAAAAATAACAGACATTTTAAACATGCTATATACAACATATTATAAACCTACACCCTTAGATATTTTGTGGCTTGCTCCCCAAAGGGTACACATCCGTAACAGACATTTTAAACATGCTGTATGCAACGTATGTATAAACCTACAGCCTTAGATATAAGTAACCTATGAATATTAATCCGGCGAAGAGCGATAAAGGAACTGTCAGAGGCAGTGTCCTTCTTTGGCCCCCCCCAAAGCCTTCCTCAGTCCCCCCTCCTCCTCAACCCCCCAGCCTACAAGTGGGAGGCTGAGGGGGGGTCAGGTAGACCTCGTCCTCATATCCGTTGGAACCGAGAAAATACTGACCACCTGAAGTTGAAGACCCTCAACTTCAGGTGGTCAGTATTTTCTCAGTTCCAACGGATTGGGACCGGATCTCATGTTGAAGTCCCCACCCCCCCCCCTTAAGGAGGGTCGTGGGGAAGGTTTCTAAAGGAACGGACGGGGGGGGTGTACGGATGGCTCCCCTGCAGCCCCAGCGCCCCCCCACCCCCCAATAAAAGGAGGGGGAGGTCTGCCCAAGCGGAGGCTCTCTCTCCCCCCCCATGGAAAGAGAGGGAGGGGGAGTCGGGAATCCTTCTGCCCTCCCCTCCCCAGCAAAGAATCCGCCGTCATCCACAC